TCAGATGGTAATTACCCATCACAAAGAGCCTTAATCATATTCTATATATTCCCCTCAGTGTGGCCTTGTTCACGTTAGCCTTTCAAAAAAGCAAAGCAGTGGAATTCTATTTACACATTGTTTCAAAAATAGCCAGAATTATAGCAATACTTAAAAAAACCCAAAACCAACATACCAGAATGGCATGTCATTCTTCTACTTCCCCAACAAAAATAGTTTCAGATCTCGTAAGCTATTCTCTTCGTTAAACATATATTCAGATTAATTAAAATCTTTAAAAATACTTAAATTTGCATAATGAATTTTGAACATTTATCATGTACAGGAATAAAGCAAACAATTGCTACAAAAAAACAACACCTGTGAGTTATTATATACACCTCTTTATTAAGGCAGATAAACAGTTATTAAAAGATTGCTATTAAACTATCACATTCAGATTATCTGTGCAAGTGGGTACATGAAAATTCAAGGAGGTTTTCTTTGTTTTTTTTCAATGTAAGCTATGTTTTAAAGGTACAGAATAAAGAAAATTAGCATAAATCATTGTCATTCAGTGAAATACTAAAACATATATTAAAATAAATGCCTTTTTCCTATTAAGAATGGACATTTTGATATTAAGCATTATTCAAAGAGGATGCCAGCAGACAGTGGTATCTTTTGATTGAACATCTAGGAGGTATTATCGGTATTCAGTAAAGTAGGTTTTGCAACAATGACTTGACAAAGCCTTGACACAAAAAGTACTTCTATCTGCTGTCAATCACTCACTCTCTTGACAGTTCAAGTGCACATCCTTTCAGAGAGAACTTCAATCAACATTAGCACTAAAAATACAGTGCACAATGTCACTAATTCAGAAATGGAAGTGGAAATAAATGTGTGAAGTGGCAAGCAAAGGTAGAATAGTATCAACCATAGAGATGCCTGAAAGCACATCCACTGCAGTAGGAAATTGTACAGCCTGCCTCTTTCAGGGTTCTCAGATTTTCCTTTTCCCAGGAAAAACCGCTAGCCAAACACTGCATAAATTGAATAATGCAGTAAATAGAAAAATATTTTTCTTCTTATAGAGGATGTGTTGGGCAGAACGAGCCAGAGTTTTGGGTCGGAATCAGACATCGCTCTCTCCTCCTGAGGATCCCTTTCTGGCAGCTTCCTCCATCTTTCTCACTGCTTTTCTTCCACTAATCACCATCTATCTTCTCCATGAGATGTCTCTCATTAGATGAGTCTTGATTCAGATTCCTGTCAGAACTCCGCCCCTTTTCCAAACACTCTCTCATCCCTACAGTACCTTGCTACATCCACAGTAAATAAATACTGAAAAAAGCCCAGTATTTGACAAAGCAGAACTTAGAACCATAGAATACTAGAACTGGAAGGGACCCTGAGAGGTCACCAAGTCCAGTCCACTGCCTTCACAGCAGGACCAAGCACCATCTAGATCATCCCTAACAGATGTCTATCCAACCTGCTCTTAAATATTTTCCGTGATGGAGATTGCACAACCTCCTTCAGCAATTTATTCCAGTGTTTAGCCACCCTGACAGGTAGGAAGTTTTTCCTAATGTTCAACCTAAACCTCCCTTGCTGCAATTTAAGCCCATTGCTTCTATGATCAGAGACCAAAGAGAACAATTTGCGCCCTCCTCCCTCTGATACCCTTTTAGATACCTGAAAACTGCTCTCATGTCCCCACTCAATTTGTTTTTCCAAACTAAACAAACCCAGTTCTTTCAGTCTTCCCTCATAACGCATGTTTTCTACACCTTTAACCATTTTTGTTGCTCTTCTCTGGACCTTCTCCAGTTTCTCCGCATCTTTCTTGAAATGTGATATGCAGAACTAGACACAATACTCCAACTGAGGCCTAATCAGTGCAGAGTAGAGCGGAAGAATGACTTCTCGTGTCTTGCCCACGATACTCCTGTTAATGCCTCCTAGAATCATGTTTGCTTGTTTTGCAACTTCTCTAGGAAAGAAAATAATGGATTTGATAGTAAACTCTTGCAGGATCAACTTGAATCAAAGGGGGCTTGTACTCCTCACTTCTCCCTGAGCAGGGTAATCTGATGCATGGAGGGTTGGGCAGGAGTAAGGATGAAAGAAAACTACAAGTGTCATACATAACAGTTGTACTTAATCTGTATACAAGTGCAAGGGTTTGGTGCTCAGTCTGCTTCCAGTGGATTAGTGTCTACAACAGAAAGGTGTCGAGTATCAGAGGGGTCGCCGTGTTAGACTGAATCTGCAAAAGCGGCGAGGAGTCCTGTGGCACCTTATAGACCAACAGAAGTGTTGGAGCAGAAGCTTTCGTGGGCAAAGACCCACTTCGTCAGATGCATGTAGTGGAAATCTCCAGAGGCAGGTATAAATATGCAGGCCAGAATCAGGCTGGAGATGATGAGGTGGAACAACAGAAAGGGTAACACTGCAATTGGCCTAATTTCAGCAGCCTATTTTCCCAGCCGCAGAGATGATCATGCCAAGTCAGGGATTAGTCCCACTGGAAGGAGACAGTACGTGTGGAAGGTTCCACAATTGCTACCCGCATGTAGCGGTTCCGCCAGGCCACGCCTCCCAGCTGCTAATGAGCCCCACCTGCTGGGGTTCCCCATGCAACAGCAGGTAACCATGTGTGCTGCAGCTGGCGCTAGGGCCGCCCCTCCCGCAGAGATGATCATGCCAAGTCAGGGATTAGTCCCACTGGAAGGAGACAGTACGTGTGGAAGGTTCCACAATTGCTACCCGCATGTAGCGGTTCCGCCAGGCCACGCCTCCCAGCTGCTAATGAGCCCCACCTGCTGGGGTTCCCCATGCAACAGCAGGTAACCATGTGTGCTGCAGCTGGCGCTAGGGCCGCCCCTCGTGGGGTAGCCTCATTGTGGCCCCAGTTCCAGCTCTGTCAGCTGTGACATGGCCCAGCTGGGGGGGGCGTGCCCCC